GTGGGGTAGCAGAGTTTTTTTTTTCTCTGATAAAACAGTTTCCGAGAAAGTTAAACAACCTTTTCCATACTTCGGCTTGTGAGAAGGGTCGTTTCATGGACTGGGGAACTGGTGGGAGAGTGGGAAGGAGGGGGGGGGGTTGCATTTCAAAATTTTCCTTGACGCCTCGCTTGACCCTGCAAACAATGCCTTCAGGTCAAGGCTCCGTGGAAACCAAGGAAACGGTACAAATCCACCAACAACCTCTTGGCACTTTGTTTCTCGGTTCAGTTTCCTTCTACTTTTCAGTCCTCTGCCGCAGTACCTCATTGCGGTACATGATATAACAACAGCCAAGCCAGCTGATCTTGCTTTCGCGGCGCTTTTTCTTTGTGATCAGTGATGTGTCGGCGTATATAAAATGCGGACGGAGTTTTTCTCTCCATAATCGGCATGTGTCATGTCAGAAACTCAACAGTTCTCTTCAAGTTCCTCCTACATATCCAGCAATTCCGATGAACGTCGTGTCATATTTGGTTGTTATGGGGTCAATCGGTACATCATTCTCGGTTTAGGCCTATGCTTTCTTTCCTTCATGATGTCCAGGTGAGGTTTGTGCTATTCCGAAAGCCACCGTATTTCATACCAGGCGCTCTTCTTCAGCCTTATCGCATTTCAAGCGGCATTTGTGGCGATCATGGACAAAACAACGTCGCCTCTCTATAATGGCACAGTTTCGCCTGACATCGACTGGGCCACCTCTGACCTTCCAATTGGCGATCGCCGGCTATCCTACGGTGTGGTGGAGAAAAGTCTGAGCTTTGCTGGTCAGTCCGATTGTTAAGTACGGTCCTAGATCGAGTCCAACAAAATAAGCGACTAGTAAACACGGCTAGGGCTTCAACACAACGACGGTAGATGGCGCGCATGTTTTCAGATTTCCAAACCACAGAAAAGGCTTGTTTTGTTCGGTTTGTTGGCATTTGTCATGTTTCAAAACTGTCTGGATGCATTATCTATCCGGAAAACTGTGCACCAATTAACAGTGGTGGAATTGTTGAAGGAGTAATGACTATTCTAAAAATAATAAACAAAAAGTGCCGAGATGCATGCGCAACGGACTGTCGTTAACCTGTTATATCAGAACCTAGGAAGAACCAAAAAGGATTATAAAATGCAGGTTTTCTGCTTCTTCCTGGTTCTGAGCAAGCACTGGAAAGGCCTAGAAGATTTGGAAAAGCCCAAATATATCTGTGCAACTGAAGAAGCAGTAGAGTAAATAGCACTTTTCGATCAATCCTCCTACTTGCTTCTGTTTAGGAGGATATGCCGGTGCCATGGTGGCCACGTTCCCGGTGAACATTCTTCTTCAAAAATACGGTGCGCACAAGGTGATGATTGTGATCGGGACCATTTCAACACTCATGGTCGCCCTTACTCCAGTCATTATCTGTTGGTCGTTCCCAGCTTTCGTTATTCTCAGGTTCATCTCCGTGAGTGGCCTTATTGTTTTACAAACACTGAAGAGAAAGTTATTGAGGCTTCTCGACTAGGAGCGATTAGCTCCTCTTCATAGAGGACTGGTATAAAAAGACGTCAAAATTGTTCTTAACCGAAAAATAGGGTCTAGTTTACGGGAGAGAACTCTTTTCTTGATTTTTTTTATGAATCTTGATTGCCAAAGCAGAAGTTAGCACTCCATGCTCGAAGTGAATAACTAGTTATCAATAAATTTCACCTTAATTCAGGGATTGGCATTTTCGAACTCGTTCCCAGTGGCTGGTTACTTAGTGAACGAGTGGGCTCCGATCAATGAAAAAGGCTTGTTTGTGGCGGTCCTGTCCGGCTATGTGGAACTCGCCGGAGTCTTCAGCATGCCGCTGAGTGGACTGATAGCCACTAAATGTAAAATAGTTTCAACCCTATTAAGAAGTTTTCGAGGGGCAACAAAATATGACACATCCGTAGCTTTCGATAGCTATTGTTGTATTTTGCTAATAATTATTTATTCAAGTGAGCTGGGACTGGGTCTTCTACTTTCATGCAATTATTTGTGGTTTCTTCACAGCTTTCTGGGCTGTATACTACAGGTACGTCAACAGTAGAGGTTACGCATTTTGGTTACGCAAGTTTTCCACTATAATTTATTTTCTTTTTTAGGGATAAGCAAGTAACGCATCCTTTTAATTCCAAGCGCGAATCGCAGAGAATCAGTCGAGGAAAACAACCAGTGGTTGAGAAAGTAGCGGTGCGTCTAAAAACGGAGTTCATAAACAGTTTTATGGTTAGGTTCTGCTCGGAACACAGAACTGGGTCGCAGTGCTAAACTGCCTGTACAAATCCCGGTAGCTGTTGTCCGCTGGATTTATCTTAGTGTGTTGCGTCGGCTCTTAAATTGGAGGGATGAGTTATATAGAAGAGTTTGAAAGTATGTAATGATAGGATATCTCGCGCTTTAGCGAAGGTATACTATGGCGGCTTTTGTGTTCATGGCCTGTGTCAGACTGGGTTTGGCGAGATTTCATAGGAGTGTGCTGCGGATCGGCGTGGACCGGGACGGCGCCATGCGAAATTGTTCAGATGAGTTTTTAGATTGAGGGTTACGCAGCGCAAGAAGGGTTATCCAGTAGTTCGGCAACCGATCGGGGACTCTTGAGGGTGCGTACTGCGCGTTGGACGAAGAGGTAGCAGATATAATCGATTGTGAAAATCGCTGAGTAGAGGCGCTCGATTTAGGTTGTCATGAGTGGTAGGATAGGATTGGTTGATGGCCTCTGTAATTAGGCTTATTTGCTGTTTATGAGGCCAGTGTGGGTACAGTATGCCCTTCTAGTCTGGTTAATTCCCCTTTTCGAAGCTAAAGGGTGGCTGCTAAATTGGTTGGAGGGATAGCGTATATGTAGGTTGTCTCTCAAGGAGACTTTGGGGTTGGATGCAGACGAGGAGTCGTTTCTATAGTTTATCGAACCTTAACAGTCGCTGATTTTTGTAACGTTTGTTCGTTATTTTTCTTAGTTCTTTTTGAAGTTATTTGCGATTCGACGCGAGGGGCCATTTCTATGGTTTTTTGTCTTTAGTGTTACATATCCGACGTAGGGGTAAGATTTAGCGTTTTTAATTTTTTTTTCTCCGTTGGGACGCGACGCGAATAGGTTGGCATGAGCTTATATGTTCGATAGGCAGAAATTTGTGGGCACTTTTCTACCTTTTTCTACGTCTTATCTCTTTTGAGACGATGAATGTGGAGTCTGGTTTGTCTCGCGCGAGTATGTTAGCCTCGCTACTGAGGAGCATGCTGTTGGCGGGGCGCATTATTCATTACGGGATTGTGAAGTGTTGGGAGGATGCATATTTAGGACTTTGACTGCCGGAATGCAGTTGGTGGTGGGGCACTTTTAGGCAGTGCAAGTTGGGCAAAGGTGGGTTGGGTGGCGCGAAGAAAGGTCCATGTTGAACGGTGATGTCGTGGTGATGTCAAGATAGAAAAAGACCCCGAAGCCCGGCAAAGATGAGGCGTTTAGATGAGGTTCCCACATTTCCTGATGATAAGCGGGGGTGAGGCATTCGAGCTGTCGCATAGACTTGATTGCGCATGTTATTGTGGTCTGCGTTGAGCGATATGTTATCGATATAACAGAGTTGTTAAGAAAATGAAGAGACCGAAGGAACCGGGAATCCAAATATCTAGTCAGATCTTCCAATCAAGAGCAGCATGTTTGATGGAGTGTAAGTATGGGCGGAAGCGTTGCAAGATTTTTGGGGAGCATGGGAACTCGAGCGTTGGGAAGTTGAAAAGATGACTGTGTCCTTGGTAAACTCGAGTTAGGACTCCCTTATGTGAAAAATGTTACTCAACAACAAGCGACGTTCGTGAAATCGTGCGCAGCTTGAACTGTTGCTATCAATATGAGAAGAAAAAATAGACCGCGGCCAAGTCTACCACCAAGCCCTGCAATTGTGAGGCCTTTAACATCCAATATAGTATGTGATCCTGTTCGATGCGGCAACCGGGTTACAAGGCTTCTGTCAACCAGGGGTGAGAGTGTAGAAGGAAAAGCAGACGTTCTTTGTGGTAGTGGGACTAAGCCTTTTGAAGGAGGTAAAGAAAGCGGAGATTCTGTAATAGTGCGCTTGTGTGAGAGCTCCCAGACAGCACAACAAAACGCTGAATTGCCTAGCCTCACGGTGACAAATGTTGACAGATGTTCGGAGACCGCGTCAACAGCTGGGTCAACCGTTACGTTGGACCGACATTGGACCGACATTGGACCGACGTTGGACCGACGTTGACCGCTCTCCGCGCCGGCATTCGCACTCGCCTTGCGCGAGCCGTCTGTGTCTCCGTGCGTACGTTCACTCTCGGCATTACTCTCACACGCTAGAGAGCCATGCGTTGGACTTTGTCCAACGGACGGTTGACCCTGGAGCCGGAAGCGAAGGTGCAGTTCCAGTGGTTCAGAAGGGTCACAGCACCCCGTTTTTACGGCTGGTTTCATACGAATTGTAGTAAATATTATAGTTTGCTGCCAGCGAAATGATTGGCCTATCCCAGCTTTAATCATTCTTGGCCACTAATTACAGCCATCATTTATCAACTATCATCTGTCACTATAAACTGTTAGCTATTAGATATATTCGGAGGCCGTCATCACTTGTGTTGGGGAGTCTATAGTGCAAACTCCGTTAGCGGACGGGGTACCCGACAGGAGGCCCGTCGCGCGGCAAGAAGGCAGAGTCGGCGGACGAGTCGCAGCGTGATGTGCGATGTAGGACGTACAATGGTACATTCTATTAACTTGACGCGAAATCACTACAGTACGCGCTGCGACTCGTCCGCTGACTCTGCCTTCTTGCCGCGCGACGGGCCTCCTGTCGGGTACCCAGCGGCCGGATGCAAGGGTATTTATCGTTTACTGTATTTGAAAAAAAAAATTGTTGCTAAGAATCATTGATGGATCGCAAACGCTTTCAGCCACCAGTTCCACGGATATTTCATTCGATGGTGATCTGGGCAATTTGGATAGCCGTGATTGGAACCTTTCTCGTTGCACAATTCACCATTTCCTTTTCACCGATGTATCTTTCGTATGTGCTCGGGTTTTCCGCCATGAGCGCCGGATTTCTCACGATTGCACCACTAGCCATTCAGGTGAAGAAGACTTGCCTTTTCAGCACAGGAAACAATGCTACTGTACAAACGTTCAACATCGGCTTTTCAGCTTGTGGTCAAGCTTCTGACCGGTCTAGCCTCTGATCGTCTTACGTGTCTGCCAGAAGTGGGAAAGCTGCGCCTTTTCAATTCAATCGCACTTCTTGGCTCTGGGCTTTTCTTCATTTTGCTGTCTGTAATCCCTCCAATTGGTGACGCCACTGATGTGATCCTAATCAGTACGTTCTCTTTTCACTCAGGGTTAGACCGATTTCAGTTACTTTCTCTGCTTTCAGTAATACCACTTGCGCTGCTTGGCTTCTCTTCCGGTGGTTACCCAAAATGCGCGGTCTTAGTGTCTCAACAACATTCTCCGTTCGTGATGTCTATCGTGCAGGTCCGTCCGGATTTGAGCATTCTTCAGGACGTTAACTAGAGATGTCGGCAAGGTGACGACGCCAGCAATTATTTATGAAGGGCGGAGCCACGGCAGTGGGACGGGTTCAGCTTTTATCCTGTACAGTCCAAGAACCTACTCCATTCTGCGTGAATTCTAGTATTACCCTTCCCCGGCCAATGCCAGTCAGGATATTTGATCCCGCTACTAGGGCTATGAAAGAGATTCGGTAGTGTTACCCTTCCCCGTACAACGCCAGTGGATGCTTGTTATGCTCAGTGGGCTATGAAAGAGATTCGGTACATAAGCTTGTGCCCGTGTATCGGGTCCTGGGAAGCTTATCACAGGCGGAAGAATCGATGAAAATCGTTGTTCAAAGAAATTGACTGTTCAAGTGTACCGCATAAACTAGCATAAGGAATTTTGAACAAATTCAGGCGCTATCGCAAGATGCGTGGGCATTGTGGTGGCAACGCAAAATTCGTGCATCTATTTTTAAAACAAGTTGACTTTTGGGCTGCAGTGAGAAATCGTTGTTAGTGAGCAGTTTTCATTCTCTCCGAAGTTACTGCCTCATAGTAGGCTTGGTCTTCGAAGGTGCCTCAAATCTTGCGGTAGCACCCAAACTTGTTCCTAAAAAGCGAGTGAGGACCCACATTTATAACAACTAATGGTGAAGTAATATAATGAACTAAATAATTCATAACACATAACAGACCATGGTGGTTGTCCCGTGCTAACAAAGCGGCTATCTACCCCATTGGGAAGAAGTCTAACGGCATCACCTGACATCATGGAAAGAAAAAATCCTACTTTTGAATTTCGCTATAGATGATGGCTAAGTTAGTATAGTGGAGTTGGGGAACTGAAATTTCTGCCCAAATCGTTGGAGCTAGATAGCTAGACCACATAGATACTCTTAGACATTACAAATACAATAAAGGGATGAAATAGTGATGGATGGAAAATAAAGGGCCAAGTGCTCGGGCCACAGGCGCGCACAGCAAATGCGCGGTCTGGAAGAGTTAAATAAGAGCTTCGGGCTGGAGCATGTACTGTAGGTCCCCGTGAGCTCGACCACGATGGCAGGTGACGTCATATTCCAAAGACGGTGAGGGCAGTAATGGAGGGCTTGCGTCTGCTAATAGAGGGGCATTTGGGGAGCATTTTGCTGAAGAACTTCTGTCAGCGGCGACAATCCCTGCGACGAAAAAACGCTGAGATTCGACAAAGTCAAAGTGTCTTTTTTATTGACTTCCCCTGTAGATAAACAGAATAAAACTGGTGAAACACATGGAAAATAAATTTAACATTCAATTCGTAGTTGTGCTTGAACCGAAAGCACAATAAACAAAATAAAAATATTCATTCTTAAGATTGTCGCTTGTTTGTCGCTGGTCGCCGGATCATTTGCAGTCCCAGCACTCACATATAGTGACACTTTCGAGCAATGGCGGAGTGTATTCCTCATTTACGCGTTCGTACTGACGCTGTCAAATACGATTTTCATCGCATTTGCGAGTTGTTTCTGATTTAACTGTAACCTTTAGCCAAGTTGTTCTCTTTGCAGGGCTAAACCGGCGAAATGGGTGTCGAACCCATCTAAAGCTCAAATTCTGCCACTGGAATGCACACTGCCTCTAGAATGCACAACAGTGAGTACGACGGAGTTTCCACATTCGGAAATCTGCACTCCGGATCCACCTTGACTGGAAGGAGCTCATGTGCGAGTGGTCTCACAAATGAACATCTCCAACGCCTCCATTGTTGATATTTTGTTGAACGTGCCTTCATTGTGTATGGGTATGTGCAAATCTCTGCCCATAATATGATTATTTGAATTATGCTCATAATTTTGAACATCAATAAATCCGCTAGAGAGTACTGTGGTTTTGCTATTGGAAACGGCGAGCGGAGGCAGGACAACGGCTGGATTGACCACAGCACCAACTTCCATCATCGGTAGCGCTCCGCCCCATCTTATAAATCATCTGGGTTACACTACAAATGTCTTTAAGAATGAACTCGTTAGCACGGAAGCTGTCCGAAGGCCTAAAGTGATTGTTTGGATCCGACACTCGTGTTTATGCCCTCATTATTGTGTGGAGCAGTTGGATGTGTGCAACGATTGATAAGCGCTGATAGTCCAAGCTGCTACGGGTGAATTTTTGCGAATTTGGCGACCTGAGCACACATTGGGATTACAGCAGTGTCGTGCTAAAATTCACCACAAAATCCAATTTTATCAAGGGTTGTTATCAATTAATTGAACCTACAGAAGGGAACAGTGTGAGACATCAAAGGAGGCTTTCAATGTGAAATGTTCGGTAGCTGCTTGATTCTGGTATCGCTAGATGGCTCAAAACTGATATTAGGCCTCCACCTCAGTAGGCGTCTTATGTAGGGAAGTTCCTCATTGTCGAACGATAGGAAAATAGGAATTTCTACACTCTGTTAAAGAGCAACCTAGGTGTGGCCCGCCGGTGGGCCACACTTTCGCTCGGTGGCGACACGTTTTTAGGGGTTTATTTTGGCATTTTTTATGTTTCAAAACTACACAAATACATCATCGAATTCGCGGAATAATGCGCTAATTACTAATAGTGAAATTGTTGGAGAGTTAATGATTATTGATGAAAAAATTTAGAAAGAAGTGAAGTGACGCATTCATAACGGCGGTCGTCAAAGGGTTAATAGAGTTAATGCTAGGTGTGATGTGCAGGCCGATTTCGTGGCCAGTCAATGGCTGCGCCTTCTGATGTGCATACTGGCAATGCTTATGAAACTGCTTACTGATCCGGTTCCTTTCAAGAGAAATTGTCATCATCGAGCTCAATACTTTCGTAAATCGTTCAAGGCCCTGCTTTCTTACTTCAAGCTAACAGCAGCAACTTCTTCAAAGTGATGCCATTAACATTCCTGTACATAACCTACCGTCACTATTATGGACCAGGAGTTTGCACGTTTTAAACCTCCCAGGTTGTCTCCAAGTGTCAGTTCTCTAGCTGTCGCCTTGCACTACACATATTACGCTTTTGGCTTGTGTCGCTAATTCACTCTAATGTCTGAATATCCTAAAAAGTTAGATATGGATGTAGTTATCCTTAGCTATTTTTTTACTTGTTGCTAAGTTCAATGGTTTGGATCTGTTCTTTTTACGCACTATCTTGATGTTCGACGGCATGTCTCTTTGACGTACTAAACAATAACAATACGTTTTCTACATACAGTGTGATTGCTGTAAAGCTCTTTCATCGGTTTCCCGTGCAATTCTTTTGCGTCCAAGTGCATTCAGCGTGAAACTCGTGACGGTCCTCCAAAATGTCGCTACTCTACATGGCTCCCCCTTCACGACACCAATCGGACCGATAGGATCAATCAGACTTGAAGAGCGTGGTAGTACGACTGAGTATGTTTACAATCTCGTGATCGTTCTTAACTCCACTTTTGGTTAGTGGTCGTTTCAACAGCAATCGCTCATTCGCTGATAGACACCATATTTGATGACAGTGCGTATTGTGTACTTTCATCGAAACTCCAGTCGAAAGAATGCATAGCAAGATGGTTTTTGCGGATTATATTGTGGTTGTGGGTTTGGTTCAAAACAATATGCACCCAAATTGCATTTCATTTCAATATGCAGATGGATTATCGTTCGCTAACAATCTTTGTTCCTTGATGTGCTTCCTTCAAATGAACAATGATTTTTCATCCAGATGATAAATGTGCAATTCCACCAGGGCACAACACAATTCCAAATGTCTGTTGAAGTGAACAGCCATTGAAGATTACCAGATTTACAGGGAACTTCCTTTGGACCAGCGAAAAAAGGGCGTTAGCGAACTCATCAAAAATACTATGCTTGTTTGGAGCTCCCACCGCGACGCTTTTTATAATGCCAAGCGATGAGATAGACAGGAATGAGCTTCATTCGATATGCTATTTTTGGAGGAAAAGATCTTGACAAGATATGTTGAGAAGGTCTGTGCGGTCTGAAGGTAAAGGACAATGATTTTTCTCACAGGTGTGATAAATTGGCAATCTCCATCCAGCACACGAAACTGAACTTCCTTGTTAAAGCAGCACTCACTTGGAAGGTCGCAGGCTTTCATAAGCTGAAGCGCTACCGAGTTTTGAATTCGACACCAAAAACTACTGCTACTTCGACAAAATCCGGAAGCTTGCAACAGAAAGTCACAGAAAGTGATGTCGTCATACTGCAGCAGAATTCCTGCCGTTTTTCGTCTAAATTTGCACATGTATTTTGCACTTCCAGTGAGTGCGCAGAAACTTCTTCTTCAACGGCCAGTGAATGGTTGTGGGAGACGGTCGATTCTGTGATGAGGTCGCGCCGCCCACGGGCGAGGCGACCCGCGCACGGCACTGATACTACGGGTTCGAATGGACGTAAGCTTAACCTGCCGAGCCCACAAATTGCGATTAGGGTCAAACACCTGATGAGGTTAAAGTTTCAGACAACAGATAGAGTAAGAGTAACTTGAGATCTATGGTGAGATCTAACCAGGCTGGGTATTTAGGACATAGTGCATTTTTTAAACGTTTTTTCAAAATGGTTTTTTGCAAGGTAGAGGCTTATGTAAGGAACACAGAACCATGCTCCACCTTTCCCTGAACGCCCCCAGGAATGCCAAGACAGCAAGGAAAGAAGTGTTCCAGAGATCGATCCTTAGTGATGGCAAAATTTTTGCAATTTATGTTGAGGCCTCCGAAGTGCCACAGAACACGGCAATAACATCTATTCTTCGACGATGGCGCCATTTGGCGGCAATCTGGGGCGCCAAACTGTATTGCAAAAATTAGTCATCACCGGGGATCGAACTCTGGACCATTTCTTCGCCACTGTTTTGACATTCCTGGAGGCGTTCAGGAAAAATGGATCATGGTTCTTTGTTCCTCGGCCCTTTCAAGCATGCAAACCTATTCGGGAAAAAGCGCTGCTGCCCGCGAACCGCTGAGACCTTCCTGTAAGCCTTCATATTGCAAACAAATGCACTTTCTAAAGTTTCTTGTGAGTGCAATGTAACCCTCGTTTATTACTCAGGCGTCTGAATTCAAGCACAAAGAGTAATTGTTTCTGTCTAGTCAGAAGAGCAGGGTGCAAGCGACAGGAGGTAGTGATAAAAGCAGTAAAATAAGCATAAACACCAGCATAATAACATAAACAGTTATAAATACCAACAAATGACACCGGTCATATCTCGACAGAGGCGTTCCATATTCCATGTTCCGTGGCTTCATTTTCTCATATTCCTCAATGTTTGAGTACTGAAATCCAGCAACAGCCGACGAGACATTGCAGCTGCATCGGCTTGGCGCGTGACTATTCACCATATACATCGACACACATACACATTAGTTGTAACTTGAGGTTCACTAGGCACCGTATTGGGGTTGAATCCATCAGTAGATAGAGTTCAAGGCAAATACCATCAGCAGAAGCACCTTTAAACGTTAGTCAAGTTCTTGATTTGTTCTTTACTGCTGGCTGCTGTAAATTTCCCGCAGCTCACGGTGCGGCAAAACTTGTTAGTTCGTAATGTAATTGGTAGGATAGCGGCCCGAAAAGCGAGAGGTAAGGGTTATGTCTTGAAAAGCAACGTGCGTCGCCCTGCCAGCACGTCCCTTTTCTCTATCCCAGTGTGGAATGCGGCTGAAAAGAGAAGATCCTAATACGCGATGTGAGAGGTGGTTCTTTCTTCCTCTTTTCCAGACCATACCCTATCCGCGGCTTCATTTTTGTACTTTCTTACCACCCATTTTGCCCGGAACATGCATTAAAGCTATTGCAAAATATATTCATATTTATAATTATGACAAAGCAGAATTACTCGTGGTTCAAAACCGCTCCCGCCCGTTATGATCCAGGAAGGAACCGCGCAAAAGAGCAAGAAGGCGCTTGTCCCATTACTTGGAGATGTAGTTTTTGAAAACTCACTCGACGCTTGCTTCAACCTCCCTACAATCCGAACGAGCAGGTGGTCCACCGTTGGAAGAAGGATAGGGCTACGGGATAGAACACTCAATGAGGGACAGCCATGCGATTAAGTAGGATTCCGAAGCGGGTACAGCACGATTGACCACATTTTCGACCCAACACACAAGGATTCTCCGTGAGCTCTACACCAAGAATGACGAGCAGAATTTTATCTTATACAAGGCAGGATCATCATCGACGTCAAGAGAGGGGTTCGACAGGTGCGACACCATCTCACCCAAACTCCTTCAGCGCCGCTCTCGAGAACGTCATGCGTCAACTGGAATGGGAAGACATGGGAGTGAAGGTCGACGGCCGGCAATTACACCACCTGGGCGGAAGTGGTGTAGTGGCAAGTGGCACGCTTACCACGCGAGCGGTCCGGGGATCAAATCCTGGGTCGTGAGTCGCCCGGGCCAACCAAGCCTTCCATCCCTCCGGGGTCGGTTAATTGGTACCAGACTTGTCTGGGAGGATATAAAATAATAATTAATATTGTACGTCTACTCAAGGTTTATTCGTCTTTCCCCTGTGTCTTTATTTCGCCAATCCCAACTCACTGATGAGCTCCGGGGATTGACGAAATAATAAGGTTCGTCTGAGGAAGGAGCGAAACGAACCATTTTAATTATTTTGTTTATAATGGTTTTTCTTTCTTAATTGGACAGCGCTGGTATTCGCCGAAATTCGAGGGTAACCCGTTTTCGGTGTTAT